TGAAAAAGAAGTAGAACCTAAATTACATTGATTGGAACAGAAACAGAAACTGACAGAATGTGCTATTGAGCTTGAACAATACATGGAGAATAAATGTGTAACAAAACACATGTATACACTTAGCAAAAAGGATGAAGATAATATTGCCATTCATTTAACAGAATTTAATACTAAAATAAGTGAAATACAATTGGATCTGACTTCATTTTATGAAGCAATCCAATGTCTGGATTGTGATTCATGGATTACAACTATGAAAGACAAAATAAAACAATTAGAAAATCATAATACATGGGAAATCACAAATCCATACAATAATATTAACATCATTAGAACATGATTTGTCTATAAAATAAAGCAATACACTGATAATAGTATAGAAAAATACAAAGCACAATTAGTAGTTCAAGGAAACTATCAGATTGACAGCCTTAACTATTATACAGACAATTTATTTGCTCCTACTGCTAGACTATCTACAGTGTGATTAATATTAGCATGGGCAGCATCTAATAATTATGAAATACATTAGATAGATATAAAATCAGCATATCTGTATGGACAATTGATGGAAGACAAAGAAATATATGTTAAACCTCCTCCAGGTAACTTAATAGACAGATTACAGAATGGACAAATATTACAATTACAAAAAGCACTATACAGATTAAAACAAGCTGGTAGAAGATAGTATAAAACACTATCTAATATACTACTTAAATGCAGATTAACAAAATCCAAACATGATAATGCTGTATTCTTTGTAAAGAAGAAAGAAATAACTGTAGCCATATTATTTGTACATGTCAACAATATTACTATCACAGTAATGAATAATAATACTATTGTAATGATAAAACAATCTATTGTACATCATTTACAATATACAGACAGTAGCAAATTACACTAGCTACTTAGTATAGAGATTCAATGCAACAGAGAGCATAGATTCATCAGGATGTGTCAGACACATTATATTAATAGTATAATAGAACATTACAAACAAACAAACGAACAAAGTGTACAAACACTTATACAGCCTGGTACACAATTAAAAACAGTATTACAAACTGATAATAATAGAGAACAAATGTCTAATATACTATACATGAATATGGTTGGCACACTTAGATACATTACAGACTGTATACAGTCAGATATAGCATTTGCAACAAATCAGTTAGCTAAATACCTTAATGACCCTGGTATGGAGCATTATCTGGCACTTAAACATTGTTACATGTACTTAAAAACTACAAACAATGTCTGGCTCCAACTCAGTAGCACAAATCAATCAATATTGAACAGCTATACAGATGCAGACAGTATGATGCAAGAAGGGCATTGTACAATATCAGGATATGCATTTTACTTGAGCAATTCATTAGTTTCATAGTCAAGTAAAAGACAAACACTGGTGGCAAATTCAATGTATGAAGCTGAATTAATAGCTCTTGCAAGAGGAACACAGGAAGCAATCACACTCACTCATTTAGCTGAAGAGATTCTGCAGGTCTCTGATGCACCAATTAATATCTATTACAATAACAATACTGTTATACAAACAGTTACATTGGACAAACTCAAATATTTGGAACAAACAAAGCATTTAGATTATAAGAAAGATTTTATTAAATGCTACATTGAGTTAGAGTACATAAATGTGAAATACATACAGACAAACAATCAACAAGCAGATATATTAACTAAAGCACTACATGTACCACAAGTCAAACATCTTACCAGTTTACTTGGACTAGTAAGAGTTTGAAGGGGAGTATTATGAGATGATTAGTTCATCAACAGATGAACCACAAGACAATGACTTCATAATGTCTTAGTTAGAATACATACAATATAAGGACAAGAGACACTGAGCAGTCAATTGTCACCTCACCCCTTGTCTATACATGCCCCCCTTAAGTTTTCTCTCTTAACATAAGTTCTTACAGTTGATTAAAGTATGAAAATAAATATTAGATTAGCTTTGTAAAAACCTAACAAGAAGCCTAATATAAGCAAGACATGCTCCTGTGACTGTAGAGAGTATATACACAGTATAAAAGTATATACAGATTTTCTTAAGTAATTGACAGATTTTGCATCTGCCTGCCCCCTCTACATCAGGAAAATGTCACATTTCTTGTAATTTCTTATAGACCTTGTAAAGTAACATGTGTATTGTATATACATTGTAAAGTAATTGTAAGGTTTGTAAATGAATTGTAATGTTTAAATAAGACATATTAATGTATATAAAGACTACATAAGTACTAAGGATGAATAAAATCTATTACATGTATTATACTAACTTTGTATGATAACCTAAAGTATTATACTTGTATTACATTTAAATTATAATCTTTAAAAAAGAGTTATATTTATAATATAATAATGTAATAATAACTATTGTTATCTTATAATTTATGCAAAAGGTATATTAATGTATATAATAGTGTAAGAGCACTTGTTATATCCCTATTATCTTAATAAAAGTATACTATAAGTATATAATATGTACATTATACTTAGATTATCTTGGGCAACTGATACCTAACTTGCTTATGTAATCAACAGCTGAAGATTGAGAGCATATAATGATGTACTTATGTGTGCTACTCTTTCTCTTCAACCTCCACCACCTCTCTAAGTCTAACTCTCTGCTGTGCTACCATGTTGTTGCTTTTGTTCTCTCTAAGTCTCTAGTCTTTCTCCTCTTACATGTGTCCTACTAGCTGCCACCCTGTCTTCAACAATGTCAACAATAAACTTTGCTACACTTGTCTCTCTAATCAACTACTGTAATACCTGTACTGAGTCCCAGATTCTGTACAGCTGATTGTACTGTACCCTCCCAGTCTCAACAATGTAAAA